TATGCCTGTTTGAGAAGATGTTAATTTTTCATATTGTTGACGGTAAAATGTCATGTCGGTTTATAAGGGTTACTGACCATTTGTTTTCACATGGATAAATTTAGTGCATTGTTCACCTATGTATTTTTTTCAAACTTGAACATTTATTTTCTTTTGGTTTTCTTTTTCAATTAGGTAATCATATGGAAAATTCAGCTGTATGAATCTTTTCATTAGAATAATAATCCAAGGAAAGAATCCAAGTTTGAGAATTTTAAGATGCCACTTTCGGGGAGGGGAAGTATTCTATAAAAAATGAAGCAGAAAATGTTACACTTTTGTTTTTGTTGTTTTCATTGCAAGGGTGTCTTTGTAATGTATTTCATGATTAGAATATCCAATACAGATAAGCTGACTTGAATTGTTTTTGAGCAATTTTGCCCTGTGTTATGTGTTTTACGCACATATTTGCAGTTGGATTTTCTCCAACAGAAAGCAGTTTCACTACTGGCACATTAATAAGCACCAATAGGTTTTTATTCCAACTCCAAGCACTGTGGTTGAGTAACATCACCTCAATTTTTTATTATCCTTTAAAGATACTGCATTTTCATACTCTTTATTTATAAAGGATCAATGCTGCTGTAAATACAGGTATTTTTAATTTTTTAATTTCATTCCATCACCATCAGAGCAGTTCCCTATTTTGTTTAGTGAAGGGATATATAAGCTTTCTAATGGTGTCTTCAGAAATTTATAAAATGTAAATACTGATTTGATTGGTCTTTAAGATGTGTTTAACTGTGAGGCTATTTAACTAATAGTGTGGATATGATTTGTCATCCAGTATTAAGTTCTTAGTCATTGATTTTTGTGTTCAAAAAATAGGAAAGAGGGAAACTGCAGCTTTCATTACAGATTCATTGATTTGTAAGCTCTCTAAATGATGAGTTCCAGTAAACTCTCATTTTGCCTTTGAGTAGTGGATTTTGAGCATTTCTCTTGGGCTTTAATTTGCTAAAGCTGTGCACATATGTAAAAAAAAAAAAAATAGATTATTTTAGGGGAGATGTAGGTGTAGAATTATTGCTTATGTCATTTCTTAAGCAGTTATGCTCTTAATGCTTAAAAGAAGGCTAGCATTGTTTGCACAAAAAGTTGGTGACTCCCTCCCCCAAATAGTAATGAAATTACTTCTGTTGAGTAAACTTTTTATGTCATCTTATAATAAAAGCTGAAAAAATCCCTTTGTTTCTATTTATAAAAGAAAAAATGCTTTTCTATATGTACCCTTGATAACAGATTTTGAAGAAATCATGTAAGATGATAAAGCATTTGAATGGTACAGTAGATGTAAAAAAAATTCAGTTTAAAAGAACATTTGTTTTTACATTAAATGTTTATTTGAAATGATTTTGTACATAAAGTTCAATAATATAAAAGCTGTATTTCTGCTTTTTTTGTCATTGTTGTTATTATGCATTGTTAATGCGTACACTAAAATTTTGGCTTAGATAGCAGAAAAGTTCTCTACCCCCAGTGATGACTCAGAGGTAATAATTAAGGGGGGGGAAAACTAACATGAAATCCTGCTTTCAACATTTATGAGTGTTATGTCATTTATGATACATAGATATTTCTAGATTTATAGTTCAGAGTAATACCAATATTAGCCAAACAGTTATCCTACTTTAGTTGTGGATTTTTCTTTTCAATTTTCAAAAGTTCATAGGGTAGGCATACAAACAATGATAAACTAAAATTATTTACACATGGTTCCTGGTTTATGATGGGCCAACTTTATGATTTTGTGATGTTGATAAGTGTTTATATTAGAGATTGTATTTTTGACTTTGAAATTGATCTTTTCTTGGATTATCAATAGGTAGTACAATACTATCTTGCAATGCTGACAAGCAGCTCCCAGTTAGTGTCACAAGGAGCAAAAATCATTAGTGTTCTGTTGATAAGGTATGATGGTTAGAAGGTTTAGATGTATTAAATGCATTTTCTATTTATTTTTTCAACTTGAGGGTTTATTGACATGTAACCCCATTGTAAGTCAAGAAACATTTGTACTATATAAGAGGAAAAGTTGTTGAAGTAACAATTCTGTGCTTTATGTTCCAGTAATAGCTTTTTCCCCTTCACATGGTGCTGAGAAGTGCCTTTTAGGCTCCCAAGCTTACTAGGTATGTTTCTCTTTTTCTTTTTTAATATTTATTTTTCAGTTGTAGTTGAACACAATACCTTTATTTATTTTTATGTGGTGCTGAGTATTGAACCCAGGGCCTCGCAGGTGCTAGGTGAGCGCTCTATTTCTGAGCCACAACCCCAGCCCATAGGTACATTTCTTTTACGGAGTTAGCTTTATTTTTAAAAGACTCATTGACCTTGTTGCCTGATGGTCTTAATTGGTGCTTATATATTTGGTGACATGAATCAAGGACTTGAACTGCTATGCTGAAGTTTTGGATTTCAGGCAGTTTGAAGTATGAGAGGATTTACTAAAGAGATAAGAAAAATTTGAGAGCCAGGGTGGCATAATGCCTGCAATCCCAGCTACTCAGGAGGCCGAGATAGGAGACCAGGCCAGCTTGGGCAACTCAGCAAGACCCTGTCTTGAAAAGTAAAAAGAATCAGGTGCCCCGGGGTTCATTTCCCAGTACTATGAAAGAAAAAAAAGTTCCTGTAGGAAGCACTACTAGGATGCTAATATGATGCAAGTGAAATATCTAGACAATCAGGACTCTCATGAAGTAAGTGCCAAGAAGTAGTTGAATGATGCTGCAAATGGCTTCCACCTGCTTTTGTAGCATGCTATCACTAGCAAGCACCCTTTCATCTTTTGGGGATCTGTGTGCTTCCACTTGTTCTGAGCGCTGGGAATGCGAAGTTGAGGAAGAGATCCTGCTTCAAAATTCTCCCAAGGTTTATAGTAAAAACTGCAGTTGTTTGCTTCTTTCTCCTATCCCTAAATAAGAATATATCCCTTTGGGTAGAATTATTGCTTGTCACTACAGGAAAAAGGTGAAGTTATACAGGCATTAGATTAGAATATTTTTCTTTATATTCTAACAAATTATTGAATCACGTAGAATATGTAATAAGGTCCAATAAACCTCACCTCCTAATCCAATTACAGTTTTCTTTTGAATAGATCTTCTCTAGACTATTCCTGTTTCTCTTCTGAGGTACTTGTAGGGAAGATCCATAGTTGTCACGTGGGTAATTATACCATCAGAGCCTTATAAGACACTTAACTGCAATTAGTAAGACCTGTGTGTTAGTCATGGAGATAGAAAGATAAACAAGTCATATATTGTTAATGTCCTTGTTAATCTTGAAATACTATGTTAGGTACCTCTGTTTGAACAGAATGAGTTTGCTTTGAAAACAAAACAAACTTCAGTTTATAGTTTTAAGACAAAATAGTTTCAGAGTTCAAGATATTACACTCCTGTCTAGAATTCGTTTTAAGTCACTTCGTTGAAAAGGCATATTTAAGGTGCCTTTTTCTCATAGAGGATAAGAAACAAATGCATTTATTTTATTTATTTTTTTTTTTTTAATTTTTTTATTTTTTTTTTTTTCATATTTATTTTTTAGTTCTCGGCAGACACAACATCTTTGTTTGTATGTGGTCCTGAGGATCGAACCCGGGCCGCACGCATGCCAGGCGAGCGCGCTACCGCTCGAGCCACATCCCCAGCCCCAACAAATGCATTTAATAAATATTTGATGAATGAAAGGAATGGGATGAAGATGTATGAAGAAAATGATTTATCCGCATTCAGTCCAACATTTATAGGGCACATTTTGTCAGGTACACACTTAGTATCAGACCCAGAGAACATAAGAAAGAACAAAGAACTTTCCACAAGTTACCATAACATCTAATTCAAATGCCTGGAGCCACAAGAATCCTTTCTCTTTCAGATTCATTTAATCTCACAAAATAAAAAATACACACATTTAAATTTGAGCTTTTTATTTTGTTTCAGATGGCTGGGCAAGGCATCTACATTCTGGAACCTCTTTACAGTCACTAAACATGTGAAAGGCACTTATATATAAAAAGGCAAGGAGAAAATTGGTCACGATTGTCTAACAGGGAACATGAGCCCCAAAATAAATTATCTTACAAAAATATCAAGCTTGCTTTTCCATTTTTCTATTACTGATAAAAATGAAAAAAAAAATTACTTTTCACATTAAAAAATCTGTAAGCTGCTATATCAAGTTATGGCTATTATTTTTTACATATTAAGTCCCTCAAATAAATATCTTACACAAATTTAAGTTTAAAAAAATCGGTCAAGTATTTACCCTATATTTCTTTGGCCCACTAACAGACCATTTATCAAACTGACATTAACTGGACTAGAGCTTGTAACTACAAATAGCAATATGCATATCATTGACCCTGAAGGCACACATGTACATATAATGTACTTGTGAAAAGACTAACACTGCTGCGTTTACTACTTCCATAAGTAGTTTCACCCTGTACAAAATCCTCTATCCTATCTCTCTCCCTCTCTCTCTCTTTTTTATTTATTTATTTACTTTTTAATCAATACTAGGGATTGAACCCAGGGCCCTCTACAACTGAGCCACATCCCCAACCCTTTTTATTTTGAAACAGGGTCTCACTAAGTTACTGAGGCTGACCTCAACATGTGATCCTTCTGCCTCAGCCTCTTGATTTGCTGAAATTACAGGTGTGAACCATTGCACCCTGCATCTTCTATCCTATATTGAATCAAACTACAAGAACAAAAGACAATACTTGCCTATTACAGACACTGACTCAGGCATTGTAAAAAAAAAAAAAAAAAAAAATTTAGACTTAAAGATTAATGAAAATGGGATAAACGCTAACACTGCTTTCAAATTCCTGAACATACAGCACACAGTCAATGCACTCGTGTGGAAAAAACAAGTGAATGAATTTTACAGAACTCTGGCTTCTTATCTGGTCTACTCCTGTTGTTATAAAGTTTTACAATGGTCTTGGATGCTGAAAGAGTTTTAATAAAATGTTACATTAAACCAACTTTAAGATGTACAATGGAAGGGTATAGGATTTTTTGTTATCTTCCCAGACACTTAAAGCTAATTTGATTTTATTGTAATTTTCTATTTGTATTAATAATGTACTAAAACCAAAATTGACTGAATTATGGTTTTGTCCACACCATTCAACTCTCTTATTGTTAAAAATGTTGTCAGTAGACACTTTTCATTTCCAATGGCCTGAAAGATTAATTTAACTTTAAACAACAACAACAAAAGTTAACTAAACTGGGATGAGGCAGATACAGTAAACCAATGCCAAGCATCCAAAACTCTAAAACACTAATACTTTCCATCCAGGATAAAAAAATGAGCATCCAAAGTAAAGAGAACCACAAGACTGATCAAGTAACCAATCAAAAACCACTTCTCTGTTATTTGAGCTAATAGTTACTCGGAGCTTGAAGTTCCCGCCTTCATTATTATTGGTAGTTCCTAGAGTCACAGCTTCGATATCAAATGTGACAGTGGATCCAGAGGTAACTGCAGGCAATTGATTAGTCATTTCTTTTCCATTTACAAAAACTGCACCTAGAAATGTTAAAGATGTCATTTACCTGTGAGCAATGACTGTTAGATAATTAAAAGAGCCTCCATGTAACTGATAACATAGCTAATTTTGTAATTCAGAAAAAAAGTACATTTCAGAATGCCAAATCAACATCAATAATGAATTTAAATATGCTAATCAATACCATCTACAGTAGGAGAAAAAATTAAAGCCTTACTAACGTTTTATTCCCTCTCCCCAACTTTTTATTTTTTGCAATCTTAGAGATTGAACTCAAGGCCTCACAATTGACAGGCAAGTGATCTACCCAGCTCTTTTTGTTTTTCTACTTTATTTTTACAGAGGTCTTGCTAAATCTCCCAGGCTGGGCTTGTATTTGTGATCCTCCTGCCTCATCCTCCCAAGTAGCTGGGATTATAGGTATGTACCACCATGTCTGGCTCATGTTAGAATTCTAGTACAGATTCAAGTCTTTTTCAATAGAGTATAAATCTCCCAGGTGAACGCATCAAAATAAACTACTAAAAAATTACAACCTGTGCCCAGCGTGGTGGTAATCCCCGCGGCTCAGAAGGCTGACACAGGAGGATTGTGAGTTCAAAGCCAGTATGGCAAGCAATGGTGAGGTACTAAGCAACTCAGTAAGATCTTGTCTCTATAAAATACAAAATAGGGCTAGGGATGTTGGCTCAGTGGTGGAGTGTCCCTGAGTTCAATCCCCAGTACTAAAAAAAAAAAATTACAATTTATAAAATAGCAAGATTGTTTCATATAGAATAAATAGGAATCTTGTTCTACTTAGTGCTTGATATTATGCTGCTGCAAAATACTGAACTGTTTTAATAGTGACTTTGAGAAGTGTGATACTGTGGAGTAAGGGACCAAAGAACACCAGAGACTACATATGGAAAATAACCTTGCCAGGCACAGTGGTGCAAACTTCTAATCCCAGGTACCTAGAGGCTGAGGAAGGAAAACCTCAAATTCAAGGCTAGCCTTTGCAACTTAGCAAAAGCTTGTCTCAGAAATAAAAAGGACTAAGAAAGTAGTCTAGCAATAGACTGCTCCTGGGTTCAATTCCCAGTATAGGGGAATAAAAAAAGGAATCCTGGGCTATAGCTCAATGGTGTAGATCCTAAGTTCAATCCCCAGCACTGCCAAAAAACAGAAACAAAAAAAAAGCCCTAAATCTTCTCATCTTTTTATGTATGATGTTGGGACAAACTCATATTTTACTACAGTGATTAACAGGTTTGAAGAAAATTGACAGTTATTTATCTCTTACCATTGGTACTAATGCATACAGCTTGGTCGCGCTGCAGAGAGTCATATCCATTCTGCTTCTCTGCACACACTCCTATACTATCTCTTCTGTCTGGCTGTCCCACAGTTTCAACTCTGTAAATGAGGTAGAAAGATTATTTTGTCTTTTTTTTTTTTTTTTATAACATAGTATCGAAAAGCTACCATTTTTTTTAAGACTTTATTTATTTTTATGTGGTGCTGGGGATCAAATCCAGAGTCTTGCATGAGTAGTAGCAAGTAGGCGAGTGCTCTACTGCTGAGCCATAACCCCAGCCCCATTACAGCTACCATCTTAAAAAGAGCAATTTTGGGGGCTGGGGATATAGTTCAGTTGGTAGAATGCTTGCCTCGCATGCAGAAGTCCCAGCACCATAAAAAAAAAAAGGAACAATTTTTGGGGGCTGGGGTTGTGACTCAGTGGTAGAGTGCTTGCCTAGCACATACAAGGCACTGGATTTGATCCTCAACACTATATAAAAATAAATAAATTAAATAAAGTTATTGTGTCCAACTATGACTAAGTATGTATATAAAAAGAGCAACTGTGGGCTGGGGTTTTAGCTCAGTGGTAGAGTTATTGCCTAGCATGCATGAGGCACTGGGTTCAATTCTCAGCATGGAATACAAATAAATAAATAAAGGTCCATTAACAACATTCTCTCTCTCTCTCTCTCTCTCTCTCTCTCTCTCTCTCTCTCTCTATATATATATATTTTTATTTTTTTATATCTCTATTTATATTTTTTTTTTTTTTCTTTTTTAAAGAAGAGCAATTTCATTGCTGGCCATGGTGGAACAAACCTGTAAGCATAACTACTCAGGAGGCTGAAGCAGGACTGAAAGTTCAAGACCGGCTTGTATAAAATAAAACAGGCTGGGGATATGGCTCAGTGGTAGAATGCTTGCCTAGAATGAATGAAGTCCTGGATTCCATCCCCAATACGGCAAAAAGAAAAAAAGAAAAAGCAATTTCATCACAATTGCTCTTTTCTAAATAATAATAACAATTGAGAACTTACTATATTCTAAGCACTGTTTTAAATATTTTTAGAGTCATGCACTGCATAAGGATGTTTTGACTGATGGTAGAATACACATAAAATGATGGTTCCTTAAGATTACAGCAGAGCTGAAAAGTTCTGGTCATCTAGTATTTTACCATATCTTTTCTATGATTAGGTACACAAATATTTACCATTGCATTATGACTGCCTACAATATGAAGTACGGTAACATACTGTACAAATCTGTAGCCTGGGATACACATAGGTTACTCATAAAGCCTAGGTGTGTAGTAAGTCACATCATCTGGGTTTGTGTAAGTATGCTCCATGATGTTTGTACCATGAGGAAATACTCTAATGATGTATTTTCCAGAATGTGTCCTTGTCATTCATGGATGGAATCTTTCCCAATTCTCATAACAACCTATGAAGTTGGTGTTATTTTAATCTTAACAAATATGTCCCTTCTCCAAGCCAGTGCAGCTCAGTGCTGGGCAAGAATGCCCCAGTTTCTGTTACAGCTTCCAGGAAGGAGAAGAGCAGAGCATACTGCAGGACTTATACTTTCAGACCAAAACATATTAACAATGCAGAATAGTATGGTACTGTCATAAAGACAAGATATCTATGTTAAAAGAACAGAACAGAGAGCCCCCAAATAAACCCATAAGTCTACAGTCAAATGATTGTTGACAAAAGTGTCAGGACTATCCAATGGGGAAAAGACAAATGGTGCTGGGAAAACAGGATGTTTATATGCAAAAGAATCATGTTGGACTTTTATCTTTCACCATACACAAAAACTAAGTAAAATGGATTAAAGACCTAAATATAAGACTTATAAATATAAAACTCCTAGAAGTAAACTTGGAAAGGCCTTAGAACTCCGGCATTGGCAATGATTTCTCAGACATAACCCTCAAAGCAGAGGCAAGAATGGACAAGGATTGGAACAAACTAAAAAACTTATGCACAGCAGAGGAAATCATCCAGAGAGTGAAAAGGCCCCTATGGAATGAGTAATTTTTCTTTCTTTTTTTGGTGTGAGGCTTTTCACACATGCTAAGTATGTGCTCTACCATTGTGGCACATCCCCAGTCCAGAAATTGGAGAAAATATTTGCAAACCATACATCTGATAAGGGGTTAATAGCCAAAATATATAGAAGAACCCCAACTGGGGCTGGGGTTGTGGCTCAGCGGTAGAGCGCTCGCCTAGCACAGGCGGGACCTGGGTTCGATCCTCAGCAACACATAAAAATAAAGGCATTGTGTTGTGTTCATCTACAACTTAAATGTTAAAAAGAGTTACCAAAAAAAAAAAAAAGATCCCTCAGTATTTTTTTTTTCAAAGAGAGAGAGAGAGAGAGAGAGAATTTCAACATTTATTTTTCAGTTTTCGGCAGACACAACACCTTTGTTTGTATGTGGTGCTGAGGATCGAACCCAAGCCGCACGCATGCCAGGTGAGCGCGCTACTGCTTGAGCCACATCTCCAGCCAAGATCCCTCAGTATTATATCAGATCTTTATCATGGCTGATATAAAAAAAATTTACAAAATCTAGAGCTGGCTTGATGCAGCCTCCTGAGTAACTGAGATTATAGGTATACACCACCACACATGGCATTTTTTTTTTGCCACAATTAAAAGATGAGAGATATTTTATTTTTAATATTCTGGGAAATTATTTTGAGATGAAATCTAGAACAAAAATCATCTCAAAAAAGTCTAGTATTTGAAGATATGTTCCAGAATTTAGCAATTATCAATAAGTTGAGAAAAGGGCACATAATCCACAAGAAAAATAGGGAAATTACAGAATCAGACAATTCACCAACATGAAAACCTATATGGTCAATAAATTCCAACCTCATTAGAACTTAGGGAAGATAAAAAAATACAGTGAGAGATCATTTCCCATTTATAAGACAGACAAAACTTTATGACACAGGACCACACTAAATTCTAAAAGAAACAAACATAAAGAAACAGGATCTCCCATATACCACGACTGGAATATAAACCAAGATGGCTGCTGGGGAAAGCCACCTGACAATACCTCATCAAGCAGAAAGGACTGATGATGCACACACACAATGACACAGTAATTTCATTTCTGTGTATTTTATCTAGAAAAATTCTAACAGGAATACAAGGAGACTTGTACAAGGATATTCACTACAGCACTGGAGTGTTGTTTATAATAGTATAACCCCAAATGTCCCAAAACCCATCAGTAAGGAAATGGAAAAAATATATACAGCAAGTTAAAAAAAAATAAATTAGCTCAGTTTGGTCTTAATCTCAAAACATAACTTTGGGAAGAGAAGCTACAGAATGATACTGTAATACTGTCTTAGTCTGTCTTGTATTGCTAAACAGAATACCAAGTCTGGGTAATTTATAAAGACAAGAAATTTATTTGCCACAGTTCCCAAGGCCAAAAGTACAACACCCAAGTACCAGCATCTGATGGCAAGAGCTTGGTACATCCCATAGCAGAAAGCGGTAGGGCAAAAGAGCACAGAAAGAGAGAGTGGGCCAAACTTGCTCTATCAAAACCCACTCCTGAGGAGCTGTGGCTGTGGCTCAGTGGTAGCGCACTTGCCTGGCATGAGTGAGGCACTGGGTTCAATTCTCAGCACCACATACAAATAAATAAATAAAATAAAGGTCTATCACAAACTAAAAAATATATTTAAAAAAAAAAAAAAAACCCACTCCTGGGGATGTGGTTCAAGCGGTAACGCGCTTGCCCGGCATGCCTGCATCCCGGGTTCGATCCTCAGTACCACATACAAACAAAGATATTGTGTCCGCCGAAAACTAAAAAATAAATATTCTCTCTCTCTCTCTTTAAAAAAAAAAAAAAAAACCACTCCTGTAGCTGAGCTTGGTGGGACACACCTAGAATCCCAGTGGCTCAGGAGGCTGAGGCAGGAGGATCAAGAGTTCAAAGGCAGCCTCAGCAAAAGTGAGACAATAAGCAACTCATGAGACCCTGCCTCTAAATAAAATATAAAATAGGACTGGGGATGTGGCTCAGTGGTCGAGTGCCCCTGAGTTCAATCCCTGGTTCCTCCTCCCCCCCCACTCTTGTGACATGAATCCACTAGTGCAGACAGAGCCCTCATGAGCTAATTGCCCCTACAAGGTCCCACCTCTCAACGTTCCCCTTGTACTGGGGATTATGTTTATTTTTTTATTTTTATTTAAAAAAATTAGTTGTAAATGCAAACAATATCTTTCTTTTATTTATTTTATTTTAGTGTGGTCCTCACATGTGCTAGGCAAGCGCTTCACCACTGAGCTACAACCCCAGCTCTGGGGATTAGGTTTCTAACACCTGAAATTTGGGAGACACATTCAAAGCATAGCAAATACTGTTTAAATAATAATAATTTTTAAAAACCCCAAATCCTAAATGATTTTAAGAAATATCGCAGTAATGGAGTACAGCCCTTTGAACAGAATAAGCAACCATGAGATTATACTGATATAAATGCATACAGAAGAAAAAACTCTCACAGTGTAAAGTAATGTAGAAGAAATAATAGAATCGGAAAAACCACTAACAATTACCAAAGTAATAACCAATTCAGGAAAGAATCAGTAACAGACAGTAGTCCTGTACCTGTAATCCCAGCAATTTGGGAGGTTGAGGCAGAAGGATCACAAGTTGAAGTCCAGCTGAGCAACTTAGTGAAACCCTGTCTCAAAATAAAAAGGCTGGGGAGCCTGGGACCATGGTGCACACTGTAATCCCAGTGGCTTGCGAGGCTGAGGCAGGACGATTGTGAGTTCAAAGCCAGGCTCAGCAATTTAGCGAGGCCCGAAGCAATTTAGCAAAATCCTGTCTGCGGATATAGCTCAGCTTTTGGATTCCATTCCTACTACCACAAATAAGTAACTAATAGTAAAATACAACACTTATGGCAACTTTGAAAAAAAAAAAAAATATATATATATATATATATATATATATATATTTGATCCCAGGGATTGAACCCAGTGGCACATCACACATCCCCAGCCCATTTTATATTTTCTACTTTGAGACAGGGTCTCCTTAGGTTGCTTAAGGCCTC